ATCATTAATATCCCATGCAAGCAAAATTTTGCTAAAGACAATTAAAAAATGGCTGGAACCATACATTGATAGAGAAATTTCAGAGATTCTAACAGGATTCAGAAGAGGATGTGGAACGAGGGATGTCACTGATGACATCAGATCCATCTTTGCTGAAAGCAGAGAATACCAGAAAAATGTTTATTCGTGCATTATTGACTATGTAAAGGTTCTGAATTATGTGGATCATGACAAACTATGGATAGCAATACAGAGAATGAGTATTCCAAGACACTTAATTGTGCTCATAAGGTACCTAGACCAAGAGGCAGTTATTGGAACAGAACAAGGGAACACTGAATGGTTTAAAATTAGGAAACATGTGCACCAGAGTTGTATTCTTTCACTGCATTTATTCAGTGTGTATGCTGAGCAAATAATCTGAGAAGCTAGATTATATGAAGAGAAAAGTGGTATCAGGATAGGAGGAAGACTCATTAGCAACCTGCGATATGCAGATGATACAATCTTGTTTGCTCAAAGTGAAGAGGACATAAAATACTGATGAAGATCAAAGACCAAAGCCGTCAGTATTTATTGCATCTCAATGTAAGGAGAACAAATTTCCTCACCACTGGCCCACTAAACATCAAGATAAATGGTGAAATGATTGAAGTTGTCAAAGACTTCATTTTGCTCAAATCAACCATCAACACTCATGGAAGCAGTAGTCAAGAAACCAAACAATGTATTGCATTAGGCAAATCTGCTGCACATGACCTCTTTAAAAGTGTTGATCAAAGATGTCAGTTTGAGGACTACGGTACACCTGACGCAAGCCATGGTATTTTCAATAACTTCATATGCATGCAAAAGTTGGATAGTGAATGAAGAAGACCGCAGAAGAATTGATGCAGTTGAGTCACAGTGTTGGAAGATTATACTGAATGTACCATGGACCGCCAAAAGAACAAACCAATCTGTGTTGGAAGAAATGCAGCCAGAGTGCTCCCTGGAAGCCAGGATGGCCAGTCTTTGTTTCTCATACTTTGGACATATTGTCCGGAGGGGCCAGTCCCAGGAGAAGGATATCATGTTTGGTAAAGTGAAGGGCTGCATAAAAAAGAGGAAGACACCCCATGATATGGACTGGCTCAGTGTCAGCAGCAATGGGCTCAGGCTTAGCAATGCTTGTGAGGTTGGCGCAAAACTATGCAGTGTTTCGTTCTGTTGTGTGTAGGGTCGCTATTAGTCAGCTCAATGGCACCTAACAACAACAATTAAAAGCACAGGAAAAGGTAAGAATTTCTCACTACACACAAAAATAAAACTAATTAGTTATTTTAAATTAGAATTATGAAATTTCATAAAATACTGGCAAATAAATAAATAAAAAGATAATACTGCCAATTTAAGAACAAATTTTAGAAAGCAAAATATACTTTTTAATTTCTGCATTCATTACAAGAAAATATTAACGTCATACTAATGCACACTCAAAAAGAGATCCAAATACTCATGGATTTGATTTCTTTATGAACTCACAATGCTATCCTGCAGTCCTAAAAAGCCTTATAAATCTCAGTGGGCCAGCAGCAGCATCCTCACCTGAGACATCCTTAAAAATGCAGACTCTCAGACTCAACTCCCCAACTTCAGAATTAGAATCTACATTTTACTATGATTAGCAGGTGATTCCTATGCATATTAATGATCAAGCAGCACTGTTCTACAACATGGGTTCTTAACTTGGATTCAAAAAGCAGTAAGAATTTCATGAATTTCTGAAATGGCATGCAAAATTGTTGTGATATGTACAGCTTACCAGGGAAAAGACTCCATATATTTTCATCAAACTCTCAAAGGAAAAAAGACCCTAAGAAGGCTAAGAACCACTGCCCTACAGGATTTGATGTCATAATTACAATGTTCTAAGATTAAAACTCACAATACTCCAAAAACTGTTTACACCGCTCTCAATGAGGTCTGTTGAAGAATGAAAAGAATGAAGGTCAGAATGTGACAGTGGGTCACGAAAGACCTTATCTGAAGAATTTATTCACACCATGCAAGAACTATGCCAAGAAACCAGTTTGGAGACATCTAAATAAATAATTCTCTACATGAGGTTTGAGATTAAGAATGTGCACTTGAAGAAGATTCAAACTGAGAAATAAATAAATATAAGGTAGAGTTTTTTTTAAGATAGGATGCCATTAGATGAGAGTGAACTGCTGAATTCTTGTTGGAAGAGCTCAATCAGCAAATTTCTAACACAAATTCAGTTGAATTTGGAATGTGGGGCCATTTTTAAGTATTAATTTACAATTGCATTCTTAGAGTATTTGCTTAATGAGGAACATTACATACATTTACTAGTCCCACTTTCATCATCTTTTCTAGATCCTACAAGATAAAGAAGAAGTACTGCATAAAACTTTTAAAGGACTTATCCCCAGGCTCTTCAGTGAGTTCATAATAAAGAACAGCTCCTGCTTATAAAGTTCTCACTGGGATAGCAGAATGTGTATGTGTGTCATTCTTCCATCTTATTAATCAACTATCTCTTCAGGGATAGATGATGTCTAACTTCTGTTTCCTTAAACCACAGTGTCTGACAGAACTTCATTTCCTTGAAGGGCACCCAAAATACAATAAAAGGAGTGGATTGGCCTTTCTTGAGACTGATGCTTTATTGTTCTACAGTACCTTCTCATCAGTGACGTGCCTAATAAATGACAGTCGGGTCTCAGAGGGGGAATCCACACCCTACCGTACCAATCCTTACAGACAAGAAGAGAGAACAGTAGTAAAGTCTTCTCTATCCCTTTGTAGCTCCATAGGTATTAGGTAAATTACTGGTTGTTCCATACTGAATTGGTCCAGGAGATAATACTTCAAATGATTTTTATTAGTGCTACTAAGAGCTGTTAACAATTCTTATTATAAAAGTGCACTAGGGATTAGAATGAGACTTTTAAGCATGATTTACTCTACTTATATACCTTAATCATATAATATGTCTTATACCACGGACATACTATCAGGAGGTAACAGTACCTGGAGAAGAACATCATGCTTGATAAAGTGGAGGGTCCGAAAAAAAGAGAAAGACCCCCAATGGGATAGACTGGCAAAGTGGCAGCAGCAAAAGGCTCAAATGTAGCAACAGTTGTGAGATTGGTACAGGATCAGGCAGTGTTTTGTTCAGTGGTGCATAAGGTGGCATCGAACAACAACATTTACATAATAAACATATCAGCACCACTCATCTGTCAGTTTGTCATACTGTGGTGCCTTGTGAGTTGCTATGATTCTGGAAGCTAGGCCACAGGTATTTTAAATACCAGCAGGCTCAACCACAGTGGACAGGTTTCAGCTGAGCTTCCAGACAAAGAAAGACTAGGAAGAAGGAGAGATGGACTACTTCCAAGTATTTAGTCACAGTGATGGGCTCAAATGTAGCAATGACTGTGAGATCGGTGCAGGGCTGAGCAGTGTTTTCATTCTGTTGTGCAGAGGGTCACCATGAGACAGTACATCGACTCAATGGCACCTAACAACAGCAACATATATCTCAACTAAAAATTATGAATACACTTATGTGTTTAAATTGTAAAATGTGTCACCTCAATAATGAAAACTATATAAAAGAGCATAGCAGTTTATACATCTGACAGTCCCTCGGACCTTAAATCAAATATATATGATAATGATTTAGACACAAAACTAATTTGGCTATTTGCTCTTCTGTCTAAACAGTTAAACAGTACCCATTCTATTTTTGAAGGAGAAAAGGATTTGTTGTAGGAACAGACATACTGACAGCAGTGACACATAACAAGATTCAGCAAGGAAGAATAAATGAAACTAGTATGAGACCAGTATTTATTGACCGCCTTTTATGGAGCAAGCACCATGTGCAACCGTATAAAGTAGAGACTATTGTCTTTAATTGATGGAAAATTTCTCTAAGTTTCCAACAGATTAAACAATTTACCTAAAGTTACGATTTCAACATGTCAAGTTTTGGGGTGTAGCATTTTATTTTCCCAGGGTGAGGGAAGAGAACAGGGTAGGAAGGCTACAACAGGGAACAGGATAGGGAGAGATAGCCCAGTTCATTGGGAGAAAGGAAACAATGAAAAAGAGGCAAGCACTTAAAGCTAAATAGGCTATTAATACAAAAATAAATAGTTCCTCACACATATCAATGGCCATTTCAAAAGTCAATGATATGAACATTGATAATTTTTTAAATAAAGTATCAGGGCCAGAATTTGACTACAGTCCTCCTAACCACTATGCTCACAGATAAACTGTGCCAGTTATATGCATATGATAAATATGTAGGAAAAAACACCTTGTACTGCAAACCTAAAATGTCACAGTAGATGAAGTTTTTTTAAAAAACATTAATGTACTTTCAACAATTGAAAAAATTTAAAATATGTATTAATTTAAGCAAGTTAATCTTATTATTTGCTTGACAGTGACTCAACTAACTAATCTGAGAAGATGTGGCTATGTCACAAAATTCTCAGATTCCCTCACAATCACTCATACACTTTTTTCTTCTGGCAGTGGATTCTAAACTTTTTTAGAACCTTTTAAATTTTTCAATCAAAATTATTTCTCAAGATAAAGAAATCTACTTTACTAGTTTACTGCCCACGGTGTGAAGTAACATATTGTATTTATCTCAAATGACTACTCCAGATCAAATCTCATCTCTAAATTAGATAAACTATACTCTTCAGCCAATGCAATGCCTAGTCAAAAGATCCTAGTTCTTTTAAAAAATGGAAGAGTCTTTTTAAGTCTAATGAAACAGAATCTAAGATACATTAATATGTCTTCATATTTCTTAAATCAGCATCTATTTGTATACAAAATTGTCATTTAATACTCAGTAGTTTATGCAGGCTGTATTGTATAGATAGATTCTTCATTACATCTTAAACATACTACTACTTTACACCTAACAATAGTCTCATTTTCCTACTTCAGATTTTAGTTACCTCTTCATCTTCTTCATCTTCAACATCCAGAATTCCCGAATCCTGTTCAGACTTGGGGCTAGTGCTTTCTATCTCTGTATCAAAAATTGTATATGCATCTTTCTTTGATTTTCTCTTGCTACCTATCCTGGGTTGCTGTAAGACGATGTTATCCAAGTTTCTTTGTTGTTGGGCCTACGATAGAGACAAACACACAGAAAAAGAAATATACCTTAGTATATAAAGTTAATGATAAATGATAAATACACTTATTTGTTTAAACTACAGAATAAACATAAGTAAAAAAAAGCTTATTAATGTATACTTTTTTCAACCCAAAAAGTATTCCACTGAGACTCATTTTCCAAGTTTTCAAAGATAATAAATAACTAGTCAATATTGTTGTAGTTGTTGTTAAGCACGGTTGAGTCAGTTGTGACTCATGGCAACCCTGTAGAAGGTTTCCAAGGAGTGGCTGGTGAATTTGAACTACCAACCTTGTGAATCAAACTGACCTTGAAGGCCAGTGCATTATCCCACAGCACCACATCAGGACTCCTGGTCAATATTATGAGACTTAAAACAAAATATCCACAGAATTATTACAAATGATCCACCCATTCTTAACTTTGTAGCTAAGAGATTAGTGCAAATGAAAGAAGATTTATCTTTTATGAGAAAATGTCATACTGAAACCATAGTGGTTAGGGTGGAAGGGAGGCTAGAATTATGTTTTATATAGTTAAATTTTGGTGACTCTTACAAACATTATATTATGTGAATATAAGACCAATAAAATATAAGCAAGAAAATGAATTACCCTAATAGATTGACATGAACTACTATTCCAGTATGATTCCATGACATTAATCTGTGGAAAACAGGACTTTAAAGAGTTTCTTTTTCTTTTTATAGAAGAGAAAGTGTAATCCCCTCAGCTTAACAGAACAGACTGAAATGAAGCCGTTATTTCAAGAGAAAAAAAAGTGAATACCAAATGTCACTGTGCACAGTCAACAACAGAAGCATTACTCCACACAGTATTAGAGCTGAAGGGACCTTAGTCACCAATAATGAATGAAGGTCAAAAGGCAAAGAATTACAGGGCTCGAAGGGGGTAAAATGCAGAACAGAATTTAGAAGTCTCATCAACTCCAGAGTTTCTGGAGCCATGAAAGAAAGATGAATCCCTGAAACAACTACTCTGAAATAATTTTTAACCTTAAACAAAAACTATTACCTGAAGTCATCTTAAAGCAGAACAATAGTTTTACATTTGTTATTGTTGTTAAGTGCCATTGAGTCGATTTGAACCATACAGGGTTTCCAAGGAGCAGCTGGTGAGCTTGAACCACCTACCTTACAGTTCAAACGGCTTTGTCATGTGGTGCATTAACCCACAGCGCCACACCAGGATTGTTTAATATCTATCACTATAGGATTATATTGCCAACAGAAACTTAAAAGATTAGATGGGAACCTTAGGGGGCAGTGAGTTGATGTTAATAAGATGAGAATGATTGCACAACTCAAAGGAGGAAATCAATGTCACTAAATTGCACTTACAGAAACTGGTGAATTGGTATTTTGCTGTATATGTTTTCAACAACAGCAAAATGAATAAAACTTCAGAAAAATAGGCAAAGAATTCATTCAAGTCATAAACCTATTAACGAATGACTCCTGAATTCTTCATTTTTAAATCTACACCAAGCAAACAACAACAACAAAAAGAAGTTTTGTTGTCAAACAAATGAAAAACTTCATACAATGAGCTTTCTTATAAATATGCAATGCACATTAAAGTAAAAGCTAGTAGAAGTACAACTTTGAGGAAACTTGTTGAATTTCATCCAACAAAGTTTTGTTTTGTTTTTGTTTTTTAAACATTTCAAAACAAATTTTCTTCACCCTCCCATAATATTTAGTATCATCCCAAGAAGCATAGTTTGGTAATGAGGTCTCTCAGAATATACATTTCTTAATATATAATTTTTCCATCAATGAAAATAGAAAGTTCAGGAGAAAATCAGTCTCTAAATCTTTTGAATGAGATTAAAGAATTAAAGATAAATATTTAGTATGTTAGTCCAGGCACTAGCCAAACAAGACAATTATAAAAGGACAGAGAAAAACTTGAACTATGTGGGAGCTAGTTTCTGCCAAGAAAACGAAAAGAATCTACATTCCAGAGATTTGAATCAATGGGCAAACTTGTTTCCCTGCATATTACCCACTGAAATTTGCTTTGACTTACATAAAATACATAGTGACTTCAGTAACATATTGAGATAGAGAAGGTTCCCCAAAACACTTCATTTAGGCTTGAGACCCCAAATTTGGACATCCTTTCTATTCTTCCCAAAAGTTAAGATGTTCCTCCCATCTTCCCAATGCAAATTACCCAAGAAGGAATCCGAATTCTGGGGAAGGAATGAAGACTTCACAACACTTCAAAAAGCAATCCCATTACTTTCATCTCACTTTCAGTACAACAAAAGCAAAATTTTTCATAAACCAACCTTATTTTATTGAATCCCAAGTTAATTACTTTACTTTACAATTAATCAAATAATGCCAACATATCAAAAGCAATAAAAAACAAGCAAGTTATTCACTGGGGAGCCATCAAGGCGGGCAATCAAGTCCCTTCAGGACAAATCCCCTTCTAAGACTGAAGCTCAAAGGGAACACATGAGCAGGAATGTAAGCTTGCTGGTGACCACGTTGGTCTACTGGTGAGTAGAAGAGGGGGAAAGGAAGCAATGAAGATATGGGTTGAGTTCAACCATGTACCACAGACTCCTGTTGACCTGGAGATGAGAGAGAGAAGAGGAAAGGCTGGTTGGTCCGAAGTGTGGTGAGCCCATGGACAAAGGCACAGCCACTGATGGTAGAGTTGAGATTGAAATATCCAGCTGATGTAAAGTGAGGGGAGACGAACAAGAACACCAAACTTGCAGATAGTACCCGTTTGACCTAGCCTTGATGGCTTGCTAATCAGAATTCGACTAGAGGAAGATAAAAATAAAAAATTTTATAAAGGAAACAAGTATAAATTGCTACAATTTGATGAACTTGACGTATTCTTACAAATGTAGTAGCTCAAAATACCAACTGAGAGGGAAGGAGTCTTCACATCAAGTATCAATCCTATCCCCTCTGTACACAGCGTTGATAGGGACGGGCAACGTAGACACTGGCTACCTAAAATGAGGGGGTAATAAAGGCATGAAATGACTGGTTTACAAGGTTTCAAGAGGGAGTTTAGTTTAAGAGTGTGCGGGGGAAGGTAAAGTGCCCACTGAATAGTTTTCATCTTATCCAGATGGGTCTGATGAAAAGAGATGGGAATAAGATTCTTATGATTCAATAGTGAGTAATTGTTATCATGACTAATTGCAACTGTCACAATGGTAAAGGTAGAAGTTTTGTAACAAAAACTGGGGAATAGTTAATCTTACAATCCAGAAACAGAGTACCCTAGGACCATCAATGGAGAGGAGCATTGGACCCTATCCAGAGAAGCAGCGACACCAGAGATGGAGGCAGAGATGAGGACATAGAAAAAGGGAGCTGCTGAGGACTCTAGACTCATGGAAAGAGAGGGACTGAGTACTGGCAGTTAGGAGGCAGGCTTACAGAATGTGCCCTTTGGTTGTTTAAATAATTACATATTCTTGAGTATCTTGCTGTCCCACATCCCCTACCCGCCCCCCCGCAACAAAAAAAAAGAGGGAATAGAAACAAATACTGCTAACTGATGATGCACAGAGGAGATTGTAATCATTGCAATGAAATGACGATATAAAACCGATGCTCTCTCGTGTATACTATCACTCAATTCACAATAAAAACTTAAAAACAGCATTCAAGAGACATCATACAAGAGTACTGCCATCTACACTTGAAGTGGTACACAACAGAAAACTATGCTATGGAAGTAAATTTAGATTCCTGGTTTATTGCTGCTGCTGTTTAGTTAATGTCTGGTTTTCTCATCAATTTGGAGGAACAGCACAAAGTAATTTGGGCTAAGTATGCAAATTGATATAGTGAAATCAAAGGACTGTTAAATTGCATTTCATAGCTCTTTCAGAACTTGAGACCTCTGTCAGAATGATCAAGGCTTCTACAGTTTGTAACACAGCAGTCAGAGCAGGTTTGCCAATCAAAATGATCCATTTGAAATACCAAATCTCAAGCATGGCAATGAAATATACACTTGAATATTTACCAGAATGTATGCAAATCCATCTAATCAAATGTATGCAAATCCATCTAATCAAAATGTATGCTATGGTCCCCTCAGGGCAAACCTCCTTCCAAGACTCAACGGGAATACACGCTCTGATTGGTGACCACGTTTGTCATCGATAAGGGGAAGTGAGAGAAAAACAGCAATGAAGCTGCGAGCTATGCCCTACAAGGTTCAATAGACTCCTTTGAACCTGGGTGGAGACCTGGTTGGCCAGCAGTGTGGCAAGACCTAGGAACTCTTGGGCCCAGAGTCAATGACATAGCCACAGAGGACTAGAGTGGAGAGTGAAGCATCCAGCTGATAAGAAGAGAAGGCATATGCATAAGGACACCCACACTTGCAGATAATACCCACTTGACCTGGTTTCAATGACTGGATGATCAGAGCTCAACCAAAAGAAGAAAGAAGAGGGAAAAAAAGAGTAATCTGATACAATTTGATGAACTTGACCTACACCTATGGATGCAGTAACTTAAAAGAGGCAACAAATCTTTACAGCGAGGATCATTTCCACCCCCTCCAAACACAGAGCAGACAGGGATGGGCAATTTGGACACTGGCTACCCAAAATAGGGGCACTACAAAGGCAAGAAATGACTGGCTTGCAAGCTTTCAAGAGGGAGCCTAGATCCAGAAGGCACAGAGGAGGGTAGAATCTCCACTGAGTAGTATCCAATCTGTCTGGGCCGGGCTGATGAAAGGAGATGCAGATAGGTCTCTTGTGATACAATAGTGAAGAATTGTTATCAGGACTGACTGTGAAGGTTAGAAATGTGA